GATCCAAGAATAAAACAAAACAGAAAATGACTTTTTGGTTTGAATTCCTTATTTGGCCTTTTAACTCTGGATGTTTAAATCCAGATGAAAACATCTGTTTAACTGTGCAGATGGAAATTGAACATATTTCATCACCACCCTTCACTTTTCATCTGTCTAATTTAGATTATATTTTCTTTTCTTGTTTTTCTGCTTTTAACCCTTTAAAGCCTGATCCAAGAATAAAACAAAAAGTAGAAATTTACTTTTTTTTTGGTTTGAAGTCTTTATTTGGCCTTTTAAAGAAATATGTAAAAAGGAAAAACAGAAATACATTTTTTATATTAATAATTCATTACTATGCGATAAGTCAAGATTATTTTTTGTTTAGTCTTTTGCCCCCTGTTATTGTGTAAATTAGGATTTTGAGCAAAGTTTTAACCATTAAATTATGCAAAAGGTGTCAGACGCAAAACATTTCAGAAACCGTATGTATCAAATATGATACATTTGGCATTACAGGGTTAAAATGGTGTAAAAAATGTAAGAAGATAGGCTTACCGTTTGAGAAGTGCGCCCCCTGGGGGAAGCTGAGCTCATGGCTGTGCTCTGCCTCGCAGGAGTACATGGCCTTGGCATCTCTGCAAAGAGCAAAAGGAAAAAGGCAATATAAGGACACGTCTAAAGTGAGAAGAGGCGTTTTTTTTAGCTGTATTTCTGTCACTGCACCTTCCGACTGGAGACTGTTGGGATGAGGCGTTTTCAAACAGCATCGCCCTGGCTGCAACCCTGAAATGAGGCGTAAAAACAAACCAAACAAAAGCTTAATATGAAGCATGCGTTATGTAACATGACTACATTTATCTTAAACATAGATACGTAGTTGTTGAAATAAAAAAATAGACTTAAAAAGTAATATTTCTTTCTTAAATATAGATATGTAGTTATTGAAATAAATAAAAAATACACTTAAAAAGTTATATTTTTATCTTAAACATAGATATGTAGTTACTGAAATAAAAAATAGACTTAAAAGGTAATATTTTTATCTTAAACATAGATATGTAGTTACTGAAATAAAAA